ATATAATTTATATCTATATATTATATTTCTTTAATAGATATTATATTTATCTATATATAAAGTTATTTCCTTCTTTATATATTACTAGAAATACTTACTATAAATCCTTTTAATAATTCGCCTCTTCTTATAGTATCCTATTTAAGAATTATTATAGTAAGTATATATAATTTTATATATTATAACTAAGTCTTTTAATATATAAATCTTCTTATTATATCTAAATAGGCTATCTTTAATAGTTATTACTTATAGCGTATTATTAAAGCGTCTATTACTCCCTATTTTATCTATTTTATTACGCTTATTCTTTATAAAATAGTCCTAGCTTTAATACTATCTTATAAGATTTATAATAGACTTTATAAAAATATCTTTTAGCGCTATTTCTCCTATAAAGCTAACTATTACTTCTATATAAGTAATATACTATTTTAGACTATTATAATTACTAATAATCTAGTACTTATCTATTTATAGCTTTTATATTTTATAGGATTTTTTAAGAGCCTATTTTTACTCTTTTAGGATAGTTATAATCTTCTTATATATCTATTAGTTCTTCTTTATAAGTCTTTAGGTCTATTTTTTAGACTTTAATATAGTTTTTATATTTATTATATCCTTAGTCTAAAGGTCTTTCGCGGCTTTTATATATATTATAATATTTAATTAGATCTTTTTAGCTTCTTCTATTTTATTTATAAAGGGTTCTTTCTATAGGCTTTATCTAATCCTTAAAAGTAGCTTATCTTCTATAAGATCTACTAACTCTATCTCTCTTACTTTCTAAGTATAGTCGGACTTCCGATTTAGCCTATCGGCTAAATTCTTTAAATCTATTTTATATTATATTATAAAGTCGAACGATATAAATTATATTACTTATCGCGCTTATCTTTTACTAAGATTCTAAGATATAAGTATTATAAAATCCTTTAGATTCTTATAATCCGATAATATAAGGATATTTATAATATCTTCTAAGTAGTATCTCTATATTTTAAATATCTTTATAATAGCGAGTAGCTTACTATTATAGGTTTTATAATATATCTCTAGCTTATTAAACTTCCTTAAATAGAATATAAAGAAGTACTATTAACTATCTTCTTTAAATTATAAGATAATTATTATTAGTATAAAATCTAATATATTTATCTCTACTAGTAGTCTTTTATCTAATTAGAAGTAGATTAGAAGGGATATCTTTATAAAATAACTTTTTAGGATAGCGAATACTTCTCTCGCCTTTTTTATAAAAACGAAGTCCTATATCTTCTTATTTATATCCTTCTTATAGATATCTAATCTTTTTACTAATATATTAAAAGATTTATAGATCTTCGAAAAGAATACTATAAATCTTCTATAGAAATTTATATATCCTAAGAATATCTAGATATTATAGATACTCTTAGGCTTTAGCTAATTTATAATAATTATTATCTTCTTCTAATTTATTTATACGCCTTCTAATATAATAATAAAACTAAGAAATTCTACTTTTATAATATAAAATATATATTTTAATCTCTTTATATAAAGTTTATATTCGCGGAGTCTTATAAGAATCTTTTAAATATATTTTATATAATCTTTTACGCTAAATAAGAATACTAGAATATTATCTAAATAAATAATTATAAAAATATCTATAAAATCTATAAAAACTTTATTAATATATTATTAGAAGATTATTAGTATATTAAAAAGTCTAAATAATATAACTCTATATTTAAAGAGCCTATATCTTATATAAAATATTATCTTTTATTTATCTCCTATCTTTATATATAAATAGTAATATATATTTAAGAGATTAAACTAGCTATAGATCTTAGCTTTTATAAAGCGATCTAGCGACTTTCCTACTAATAGTAATAAATACTAATTCTTAATAATAATCTTATTTAGTCCTCTATAATTAATATATAATCTTAATCCTCTATCTTTCTTAGATATAAAAAGTATTAGCGCTTTTATAAGACTTTATAAAGATTAGATTTATCTTTTATTTATAGCTTTTTTAATATATTTTTTTAATATCTAAAACTATTCTTTAAATAATAGATATATAAGTTTCTATAAAGATTATATATCTCTCTTAAAATTAATTATATAATCCGCCTTTAAATATAATACTAAGATCTCTACTTTTATAGGGTCGAATATATCTATAAAGTCTATATATTCCTTTAGTAGGGCTTCTTCCTATATTACTTCTAGTCTTATAAACCTTACTAAGCCTATCTATAGGTATACTAAGATATATTTTATATCTTATAATAGATCTTATATATAGTCCTTTATTATAATTCTTTTAAAATTATTTTTATTTTATATACTATAATACTACTATAAAGCTTCTTTTTAATCTATCTATAGATTTTTATAGATTAATTAGTTAAATCTTAGGATTAGGTTATATCTTTATATATCTACTACTTTTATTATAAGGTTATAACTTCTTTTTATATTTATATTATTAGTTAGACTAAACTTTATTTCTTATATCTTATAGAATCTAATCTCCTATCCGTCGATAGCTTTAACTATTTATAGTAGGAGTTACGAGTTTTCTAAGTTCTATTTTATCTATTTCTAACTAATAAAAGACTATTCTATATTATAATCTATAAAGATATATATAAAGATTTTCTTTATCTTAATATAAATTATAGCCTTACTTATAAAAGCTTTTAGAGATTATAGATTTAAAGTAGTAACTTCTAATATAGCTATTATTTAAAATATTAAATTCTTTATTTTTTTATATTATCTTTTCTACTATTTTTTATATTATTACCCGGCTTTCTATAAAAAAAAATAGTATTTATTTTTTTATAGCTATATTTCTAGTAATATTTATATATAAATAAAAACTTCTTATTCTTTTTATACTTCTTTTTTAGTCTTTTATATATAGATTATAAGATTTTCTTTATATCTTATATTTTTATAAAAGATTATTTATTTTTTTTATCTTATTTCTCTAAAATAGATTAACTTAGTTTTAAAATCTTCTTTTATAAATTTAAGTTTAATTCGATAATTTATAAGCGATCTAAAAGATTAGTATATAAATAATTTAGATCTATCTCGATCTATTTATAATCTTCTACTTTAATATTATTAATTATATTTATACTTAAATATATTTTATATATATTTTTTAGTAGTAGTATATATAGATTTTTCGCTATCTAATTAATATATAGCGAGTATATTATAACCGATTAGCCTAGCCTCTATTAGTAATATATCTATTATTCCTCTACTTCTTAATAGATAATCTAAGGATTATCTATTATATATTATAAGAACTAGATAAACTCTATATAGATTTTTAGTATCTTAGGTTTAATAATATAGGATTCTTATACTATTATTATATCGCTATTAAGGATCTCGACCCCCCTATCTATCTTTATAGTATTATCTTTAAAATAGTATAAATATTAGCCGAAGTAGTTATTTAGGCGCGTCTACTATATCTTATACTCTTAGAGTATTTTTCTAGAGTATTTTATAATACTTATTAGATATAAAGGATATCTTATATTTAATATATAGTATACTAAGAGGACTCTAAAGCTTATTTTATTATTTTTTTTATTATTATCGAGATCTATATCTACTAACGATATTATTCTTATTAGAGGAATACTTAGCTTAGCCTTTATATTTAATTCCGCTATATATTTCTCTATCTATATTTATATCTCTAGATACTCTTTAAGTTCTATAAGTTATTATACGCGGGTCTTTACTACCTTTAAATCCTTAGTTTCTTCGTTATCTTCGACGGTCGTAATAGAAATTAGTTCTTCCGCGAAGGGTTTAGTCGGGTTTATAGAACCTAACTATTCTCCTTCGTATTTACCTTCGGAGGTACCGAGGTCTATATCGAAGTTATCTTCTATAGTTACTTCTAGCGTCTTCTTACTTTACTCCGTAGTTACGCGGGTTCGGCGTATAGGCACTATATTTTACTAGTAGCGGTCCGATTAAAAATAAGATAGTTTAGAATATAAAGACCTACTATAAAAGGTCTTATAAAGGGTATAATCAGAGTACTAAGGGTATATATAATACGAATTACTACTACAAAGCAATTGCAACTACGTATATATTCAAACTAAACTATAAACCTTTATCTATAGTTCCAAATCCACTAGTTATATAATATACGCAGCCTAAGCGAGATCATATACATTGGACCCATATATCTCGCAGGCCATTGATATGTCTACGCAGGTCCCCGAAGACCTCCGAGGGTCCACCTTGAAGGTGCCATCTCGGGTCTAGGCGGGTTCTGCACCTTACTTTGTATGGTGCAGGACGTGACAGTGACCACCAGCGAATCCTCACTATTGTATGTTTTTGTATGTTTTTGTTATTGTTATGTTGTGTCTATTTCCGACAGATATTCCCTTGAAACTCGAACGACCTCCCTCTAGCCCGGTCCGGGCCGTTTCTACCGGTTGTATAAAATGCAAGGCGTGGCACCTACCTACAGCATTCCACATCTAACTACAACATAACTAGGTTACCGTGGTTCGAGTGCTGCGGTGTGCAGGTATCACGGGGGTATGGATGACCCGCTCCGGCGGGGTTTTCCGGCAGTATTAGGGGTATAACAACTGTTCCCCGGTTATGAACAATTAACCATCCATTATTTTTCATTCCGTGTATGTGCTATTAGTAGGCCCGTAGAGGCTACTAGAGCTCGACCTTGTGCGGTTGTGTTACTCGTGCTCGAGTACGCAGTCTAGTTGTTTTGCTGCACCGATGGACTCATTTCCGCCAACGCTTCTCGGTACGACAGGGCCAAGCTACTTCGTTTCCGCCGGCGCTTCTCGGTACGACAGGGATCACAACGGCGGTACCTCTGTTGCCATTGCGGGAGCACAATATCACAACCATCACACTTACGGGGGGTTACCGTCGTAGGTATGAATGGCGAGGGAGTACCCGGCGTTCGCATCAGAAGAGGCCTATGTGTAGAAGAGGGGCTTCGGACTGAAGAGGGAGCAAGCATAGGTAGGGAGTTTCGGGGCGAGGCGGGAGCGAGGATAGGTAGGTATCTTTGGGCTGAAGAGGGAGCGAGGGTAGGTAGGGAGCTCCGGGCTGGAGCGGGAGCGAGGGTAGGTAGGGTAGCCGTCACTGATGGCGGATGGTTGGACGAAGTAGTCGGCACTGACGAAAGTTGAGGTGGAGACTGGGTTTGCATTTTTATTGTCCTCACGCGCCGGCAACGACTGCATACTCGGCGTGTCTGTTCATAAGGGGGCAGGACGCGGGAACATGAATCACAGGAGCGCTGGATGGTTTCTACAGGCGAAGGAACCGCTACACTCTCGTTGGCGCGACACGGGGCACACCTCGCGTACTTAGTAGAAGCAGAGAGGGTAGTACCGCAAATAGTACAATAGCGAGACTCGCAAAGCCACTTTGGACCACCATCCCGGATACTTCGTATACATGTCTTGCAACGAACGCTCTGAGACCGGTTAGGCAGACCTAGGGAAGGGACGGGAGCTGCACAGCGAATGCAGAACTGTGAAGGAGGAGGAGAGGGAGGCATTGAAGTGGCATAGGGATTCAAAGGAAGTAGAAATTGGATACTCCGTACTTTGGAAGATATAGTGACTGGACATAGGTTTTTGCACCACCAGCCCCACATCTTATGATTATATAATATTCTGCCAGTAAAAAAAAAAAGCATATATTATATTTACCTTTACAAACCTTTACAAATAATAACATATAATAAAAGCATTTGTTCCAGAGTTTAGGAATGGATAATACAGTATCTTGTTTGCGAAAAATCAGCTTTGCATGTTATTTTATAGAGATTATATTCATGGATACTACACGTTTTAGGTAGGCGGTATAATGATATATTGGCGGTGAGCTAGGTGGGGCTATAGGGTACATCTTATAGTGCTGTGGCTAGTACTATAAGGGTAAAGAGGGGGAAAAGGACCAGTTCTACATATTCTCCTTCATAGTTTAAATAAGCACATACGACCATAGGGTGTGGAAAATAGGGCTTCCCGTCCGCTCAGCCGTACTCAAGCCACACGCCGGTGAGTTAGTAGTTGGGTGGGTGACCACCAGCGAATCCTCACTGTTGTATGTTTTTTTTTTTGTTATTCAATGTATTTGCTCTAGAAAGTAGGTGGGGAGGGAGGGAAGGAGGTGTGGTTATGGTACAACAAGAATAGTCGGCCATTTATGCGGCCTTGTGATATCTTTTTTATATGAAGTGTATACATACATACAAACGGGGTGAAAAAAGACTTTTTCTATGTATAACTTTGAGAATAGTCGGCTAGCTAAGGATGATGTACGATGTGTATTTAATATTTGTCAAGATGTTAGTATGACATCTGTCTACAACATAATATATTTATCCCCTTCTCCGGGCGAAAAACATTTAGCCGCAACCTCATGAAGTACCCGAGGAACGGCATTTCATCAAACATCCGCGGGCCGCGCATAGTTAACTAACCGACGGCACATGTGGATACTAGTATCCGTCGGTATTTGCCCAGGGCTAGCTACATGACATCTACAAAGTAATTAAAATAGTTCGACGTTGAAAAGAATCCAAATGAAGAATAACAAAAACAGCCATAAAGGCAGATAAATTGACCCAAGAGAATTGCAGTGCGCAATAGAGACAAGTTCAACACCTAGGCTATCATAACGCATCCCCAAAAAACCATACCTCGACTCTTGAAAAGTCGGAAGAGGATACATAAAAACATAAGAACCGACACGGAGAAAATAGATCAAAGTCGAAAAACCCAGACACACTGCCAGGTTTCCGTGCCATCCCAAACTTCGCTCGAAACAAACCAAAAACCCAGAGAGAGAAAATGAAACAAATAATCAAACCCGGGTTTCACGGCCACCTTGGCTGGAAACCTCGGGCAACGCCTTGCGCGCATTTTGAACAGCATAACCCAAACCCAAAAAAAGAGCATGTTGCAAGTAAACAATACCAAGGAAACCAAAAAAAAAAGGCAAAGAAGAGGTCGCGCGCACTGGGTATAGGTGATAATCAATCTTCGTGATCCCGTTTTCAATTCTTGGTCTGAACCAATACATGGGGTGGCTAGACCAAGAAAGGAAATGTTTGGATTTGGAGTTCAATTCGCCTGCCGTCGGGTACTCGGGGGATTTCCCGCAGGCTTGGATATCCCATTTTTTGAGTCGCCGACGATCATAGATAAAAGAGAGAGATAAAGAGATGATCGTACAGTACGTAAGACGTAATGGACGAGATAAGTCATGAAGAGTAATAATACAATGGAGCACGGCGATTGGTGCCATTGCTTCGATGGGCGCCGGCCGAAGAGGTGCGACAGAGATAATGGCTCTCTGGCGGGAACTCTAGCGGCTGAATGGAGACCAGACCGTGCTCAGCCAACCGGCGGGAATACCGATCTCAGAAGGCGCGAGCATGGACAGCTGACCCCATTCAGACCCATCTAGGAAGGCGAGGACGTCATCTCCGCCGAGACTCGTTGATAGTAAGTTTGAGTCTGGGAATTCGGTGGAGGTCAGAGGTGGGGAGGGGGCTAATTGGGTGACGGACCCCGGTGGGGGGAGGACAGGGATGGTGTGTGAGGCGGTTGCGTTGATGGGAGGGAGGGATTGAGAGTACGGCGGGGGAGGGGCCTGTGGGCGGGCCGGGAGCCAGGTGTTGATGGGATTCAGGCGGTTGCCTGCTGCAGTCATATACTGGGAGGGGGACTGTGTAGGTGCAGATAGAGAGGGAAAACTGGGAGATGAAGTGGTGTACATCGGGCCGTCTGGGTGATGTTGCTGAAGAGATGGGAGAGAGTACGGGGACCCGGATGGCATTTGGCGGCTGTTGGGAAGTGGTAGGCTAGGACGGCGATCGCCTTCGTGTCCAGGTAGCGACAGACCGGGGCTGTTGACCGGAACCCACGACTCGCGACGACCACCGGCACCGGCACCGTCGAGCATCTGGTCACCGGGATCACCGGTTTCACTCCTGACGGCGTTGCTTCCAGCGTCACTCATGTTCGTGCGCTCGTACATAGACTCGCTGGCTGCGGGCACTGCGATACCGTCATCGTCCATCCCAGGCTCTGTCAGTTGGTCCTCGATGCTTCCAAAGTCGAGGAAAAGCTTTTCGAGCAACTTGAATTCTTCGAGGCCACCACCAGCGCCGCCTTCGCGAAGGGGGCGAATCCCATTGAGGCCGTGGTCAGAGGCATCCGACATGCTATCCAGGCGGTTCCGTGAAACCCGGCGGAAATCACGCTTGACTTTGGAGAAGTAACTGTGAAGGCGGTTCAGGGTGCGGAACCAGCCCATCGCCATCTTCAAACGAGGCCGCATCTCCCGAATGATATCCAAGGCTTTGCGTGCCTGTGCGACACCGAGCTGGTGGCTGTCATGGCTAGCAGGGGGCGGCTTAGTTCCCATCAATCCATCGGTATCCATGTGTGGGAAATGTGTTCCATAGACACCGACAAAAGCGGCATTGTAGACGGCAAATCCGACCAACGGGTTCTCAACAAGAGCACCGCGGGCTTGACAGGTGGCCACAAGGTCGATCATCTGACGCGCGGCCTTGAAGAGTTCACGAGCACTATCCCGCCAGAAACCGTCAGGTGGGCCATTGACCTTGTCGACGGCGAACAATGGCTCGTCCAGGGGGCCAGAAGGCTCATTGCAGCGGATAGGTAGGAATGGGATATAGGCACGGTGAAGGACAACCACTGATAGGAAGTAGACAACATGCATCACGGTATATGAAGCCAGAGTGGTCTTGTACATGATATGTGTGTCCGTATTTCGCAAGGAATACTGCAGGTTGCGAGAAAGACTATCCTGAAACTCGTTCAACTGCAAACGGAGCGAGGCGAAGCGAGATTCAGGATGCCAGGGGGATATTGCTCCGTGCGTCGACCACCGGCGCAAGACCACTTGGCAATACTTCCCCAGATACGAGTGATGCGAATAACTCGGCTGAGGACCGACTCCTCGGCGCCAACCTCCCATCGATCAACCTCCTCCTCGCTCGAGTCCTTGCGGCGAGAGATAGGTGACCAGGGCTTGTTATCTGGAGTTCCATTGGGTCCTGGGAGCTTTTCTTCGCCAAAGCCTCCTATGCTTTGACGGATGCTGGGGATTTGCATGCTTTGGGAACCAAAGCTCTGCGGGCGCCGAACGGTCGGTTCATTAAGTCGGGCCGTTCGAACTCGCTCGCCGAAAGCAAAAGCGTTGTCGCTCGGAAGCTGAATTCCGAGTTCCTTAACTCGGACCATCCGAGGCCGGTACTTTCCACTGCTGAGGCATCGGTCGAGGATAAAACAGGCCCAAAATGTCCGGCGTTTAGTCTCTTGCGCAATGATATCATCGGAGGTCGGCTCCCTGAGCTCTACACGCCGCGGCAGACCAAAATGATCTGCCTCGGGTCTGAAGCCGGGGGATGAGCGCGAAGGATCTCGCGCTGGGAATTCATTCTCAAGTTCAAAGGGCAGACCCATGGCCTGTGCAAGCCGGATGGCCATACCCACGTAGACCCACGCACTCTTGCCTCGGCACATCCCCCATTCGTGCAAGGCTAACATCAATAGCGCCTGTACACGCGCAAGATCCGGTTGAGCGAGGCAAGAGCCATCTAAGCCGGCCAGCCGGCTGCGGAGGGCTGCGGCATAGTATTCCGATGCGGCAAGTGGGTTCGAAGAATGACCAGGCGATGCTGGTGAGTGAGCTGCGGCCAACGGAGGGTGAAAGCGAGCAGTCAGGGCTAGTACACCCAGCGGGATCAGTGACGAAGACGGGTCCGCCTTATATATGGGATTCCGGGGATCTTGTCCATCGAAGGTCGTGGGAGGAGGAGCGGGAGATGAAAGCTGTCGAATCTGGCCGAGAAAAGTGGCAGGATGTAGGAAAGGTAGAAGAGTCGCAAAATGCGATTGAAAGAGATCGAAGACGGCCTCCCAAACTTTTGTTGTAAGTATTGAGGAATCAAGCGCATCCACACCAAGCTTCGAACCAGCCGATGAGCCGGATATGCCTACCACCTTGCGTGGACGATGTCGTTTCGGGCCATCCCAGTCTCCATTCCGATCTTCACCTTCTGCCAGGGTAGCCAGATCTCGTTTGGCGGTGCTTACTCCGATTGCTGGGGTTGGGTAGACACATTCGCGCCCGGATGATTCGCACGCGCGGCAGGTCGTATCGATGCCGGCATTGACACACTTGATTTTACTGCGGCGGCATCGAGCGCAAGCAATACTGGACCGCATGGTGTATTGGATAGACTCGAGGTCTGCAGATATCCGAGTCGATTTGTGCCAATCGCAATTCTCCCATTTACCGTCGGTATTCGGGTCAAAGGGTGTAATTCTTTTTGCGGGGGAATAATCTCGGGGAGTTAATCCAAGGGAGGTTCTGTTTCTGAACGGTCAACATTGGATATGTTAGGAACTAGGTAATGTTGGGAACTTACTAGACATCCAAGCCTAGGTGAAAGGGAAAGAAAAGAAAAGAAAGTAAAGAAAACGAAAGAGGGAAAGAGCCAAGGGAGAAGAATAACGGAGTTGGCGGAGTGTGGGGGAAACTCAAAGAGTCGGGGCACCGGTCCGGAAGAAACACAAGTCGGAAGGGAACGGGGAATGTTTCTCGACCGGGGAAAGAGAGAATAGGAAAAGAAAATAAAATAAAATTGAAGTCCAAAAAAAGAAGTGAAAAATGGGGAAATAAGAAATAATTTTATTAAAAAAAAATAAAACAAAAAAAAAAAGAACGAAAATGGAGAAAAAGAAGTGAGAGCCGCTGAAATTGCGGAGGGCCCAAAGCATGCAAGGACGCGCTTTTTCGTGGAGGTGGAGCCCCCCAGTTTTCCTGCCGATTTAGTTCTATCACACATATTATATTGACTATATTGACTATATTGACTGTATAAATACTATAAATAAGAAAAATTATAGAATAAATATAACTATGGAGTAGATACAATACATATCTCATGGTACAATCCCTTATTCCTCAAATATATACCTGGTATAACCCTCTCCCGGAATTACTCTTGAGGCCTGAGCGGGCATACAGAGAAAGCCCTAGAGAACATACCCCAAATTCTCACCTCTGATCTCATGATCGTCATTTCGCATCTCTACCCGACTCGGGGTCAGCTCACGGTCCGAAAATAAGAAAAAGAAAAAAAAAAAAAAAAAGTAATCTGCTCGGTCAAGTAGGACATGTCTTCACTACTGGACCAAATCCAGATTCAAAAGTACACCAACTAGTTGGAATAACAATACCCGTCCACTCCCCGGCCGATTGTCCTCCGACCACTTTCCGGCATTTCTCCTCCATATTAGGTATTAGGCCGTGAGAAATGAAATCTGGGGGGATCGGTAGATTTGGGACATCATACGTACAATGTCGTACACCCTAGTTCCATGTCCGCCTAGAACTTTATACCGACAAGGGTACGGGGTACAAAAGTACCCTTCACCTTTCTACCTAGGCTATTGACCAGATCTACTCCGTGGCAGCTGATGTCCGATCGGCATTTGTCTGGGCGGGAATCCATACACCGTCTCTTCCCGCGTCGGGAACACCAGAATAGATAGGCAAGCGAGAAATGAGTGCACAGATGGGGGAAAAAACACATTCTCGGAGAGTACAGCGAGAAATCCAGAATTTGCGAGTCAAGAAGAAAAAAGAACGGAAATCCGAACTCCACAAGATTGTCCAGAAATTCCAGTGGACCGGACCATAAGGCTTTTCCTTCCCACATGGTATTTTTCTTTTCTTTTCTTTTTGTTCTTTTCCCCCCCAAGAGGGGTATCTCGGCCCATTTAGATCCCTCGGGTATAGCCTCGTCCCCAGAACATGGATAACCTGCCATTCAGGCAGCCTATCAATCTGGGGGAGAAGGGGGTGAAAGCATCCAATCAACGATTTCCAAGACCAATCCTGGTCCAGGCTCCCCGCAAAGAAAGTGAGATCCTAGATCCCTCACAGGAGTTACATTGAAAAAGTGACCCTTTTGATTGGTGTCGGCTATGAACCTTTCCACCTCGTACCCCCGTATTTGACGGACTCCGTGTGACGTTCCCATAATGGGGGCTGGTGGTTGTGTTTCCCCCCGCTAGTCCCCCCCGTCACAGGTGGAAGAATCGGGGAAGGGATCAGGTCGCTCGGCAGAGGGTCGAATGAGTTGCCATCCCTTCGGAAGAACACGCATATTTCACGGGATGGGGAATTGGACTGACTCGACCCAGTCCTTACCTCCGTGGTTCTGCTGCCATCCTTATATATTCCCATTCCCACAATGTCGTATATCCTTGTAGAAGTACAAACAGGCCGAGGCCGACTGCATGATCAGAGGGATTTTTTTTTGTTTCATCCCTTACGGAATTCATGGGAACCTAACCCTGGTGTAGTTCCGAGGTTATACACATGCTCAGGAATGTCACACATCGGAAAAGTTCATTCACCGAGTTTTCCCCCGGTCACATTTCGGCCCCATCCGATTCAACGATTGGACCGCGGCCTCCGAGGCACAAGCGATTGGACCCCGGATAACCCCGCATTTACTTGATATTAGGTAAGAAGTTCGAGTCTATTTTTTGGAGAGTTGTTTTATAAAGGTATATGTTGTAGAGTACGGAGTAGTATTTTATATTTTATATTGTAGATTGTATAGTAAGTAACCTTACAAGAGGGCAATGGTTACCCAAAATTCCAATTCCCCATACAACCTATGTAGGTAGTATAACATAAATCTCCGACCTTCTATATTTTGTACGGTGGATAATAGTGGAGAAGCTTAAAAGGGAAATTGAACAGTTTTCACAGTTGATTAACATTGCATACCCCGTACCATTGGTACTCTGTACTCTCTCTATAACTAGTGTAGTCATTTCACATTCTTGGCTTTTACCCCACATATGGAGTAACCTCTCAGGTGACAAAAATTAATAAAGGAAACTTCTTTGTCCATCTTTTTCTCTTCTAACCTTCCCTGACTTGATATTATCCGAGACATTCCCGTGCCGTACACCGGATTCTCGTTCAATCTGAAAGAAAAAAAAAAAAAAAGTATATAGTCCAATCCAATTCATAATACTAAGCCTCCAGCGCCATAGTGGCTTTGAATAATATTTCCCCAAGACCGACGGGATCAAATCTTCTTATTTCCCCTTCCTGTCCCATGTCGGCGCGGAGTAATTGCCGACAGTTAATTCGGCACGTGGTACTCCGTACTCCGTACTCCATACTAATTTGATGATATATCACCACACAAAACATGAGAAATTTAGTGCTGAATACTAAGCCCCGTATATCTTAATTTCATTTCCAGGCTAAAAACCCTTCCAGAAAAGGAATCCCAAACCCGGGGAGATCCCGGATCCTACAACTCCGTCCGGAGTCTCCGTAGTAAAAACGAAAAGGATCGAAAAACGAACAGACCACGAACCCAGCCACCCCACATCGGCTCGGTTAGAACATCGAACATCGGTGCGATACCGAGTCTCCCGAGTCCGGATTTGGATAGCCTACCGGTGCATGGGATCTTTTTCCCGGTAATTCCCCGATGGCTAAATGGCGGAGAACTGTGCCTTAATATACTGTGATATTTACCATAACCTTGGAATTGCCTTCTGCTTATTCGTGCGTCTCTGCCGATTTGCTGACTTTCTGACTTTCTGACTTTCTGACTTGCTGACTTCGGGGATTCAATCCCGAGAGACCAATCCCCCCCACTCGGGGGTCCACGGGTAACTTACCGGGTTAGTCAGATTTGTTTTTTTAGCCTGATTTGAATAGTCGTACTTTTTTTTTTTTTTTTTTAAAAAAAAATATGGATTATTGTGGAATGTGGTTATGGAATCACCAGTCAATTTTATCTATAAAGAGTCGGAGAAAAGAAAGAAAATGCATCGAACAAGAAAAGCACCGCCAGAGTGGGTATATTATGAGCGATCATAATAGAATCCAAAAAAAAAAACACACACCAGTCCAAATAAACATGATATAGAGAAGAATAACAAAAAAAGAGTTCCCAGGATTGGGATGGTAAATTAGAAGATCGATATCGTATCGTCAACGAAGACCCAGCCCGATGACTATAATGAGTGTAAGGGTTTAAACGAAGAACCTAGAGACGCAATCAGTAAGGGACACGGACACTTGTTAACCATCCCAACCACATACCAAGCCGCAAGAGCGATTATCAGATACATCATCATCAACAAGACACCCTCGAGCCAGTGAGACTTTCCATCACCGATGAGGTAGTTGACCTATGAAACGACAGTCAGTATAATGAGATCCCCTCCTCGCCCTAAACGAAATCCACTTACCAAAAGAACAGACATGAATAACACAACCACCTGGAATCCGTCGAAGTTGAGAGTCTGTCGCTGTTAGTACTACTAGTCCCCAACTCATCAATGTTTCGTACGGGACTCATCCATACCATATCGTCAACACCAATAATCCACCCAAGAACAACAATCAACGGCAACACAAGCAACGCAATCTGCATGCTGGATCCGACAGCAACACCAATCGCAAGGTCCATCTTATCCTTGCAAGCGACTGTCACTGCCGTAGCGTGCTCAGCCGCATTACCAACGATAGGCAGAAGAATCAACCCGACGAACGTCTCGCGAATGTCACCGGTAGCCGTCAAAGCATCGATGGATTCAACCTACATAGATGGGTGAGCTTATTGAAACACACACACACAAAAAGAAGATCGAGAACAGATCGGAGAGAAAACTGCAAAAACATACCATGAACTCAGCACACACGGCAACAAACGCAGTCGAGATAATCAGCGTAAGAAGGGCAGTCATAACGGACAACTGCGGCTCCTCGGTTTCTTCTTCGACTTCCTCCATCTTCATGTGGTCGGCACTCTGTCCGACCAATGGCGTGGCGGTCATTTTACCGATCTGGGCAATACCCCGACTGGCATCGCCTTCGCCGACCTTCGCGTCTCGCCGTCCGACCTTCTCGCTGGGTCGGTTGTAAATTTCGGCGTGCGACTTCAGCTGGAAGAAGAGGTAGCAGCCATACACGATTAGAAGGAGGACGCTGGTGCCTGTCGTGTGACGTGTGAGCAAGAAAATAGGTAACAAGTTATATAGTGCCAGCAAGTAACGTACCTCGGGACATAGCAGCGGTTCCGTCTACTTTCTCAACTATAATCGATATTCTTGTTAGCTCTCGTGTCGAGGGTCCTGGGATCGGGTCATAACTGACTATCGGACCACTTGTGGTAGGC